TCTTTCCCTTACTACCAGCCTCTTTCTTCCCATTCTTAAGACTTCCCTGCAGCTGATGGCTTTCAGACCTGTTGAATACCAGACTCGTTCCAATCTCTGTTGTCTCTAGGCAGTTTACACCCGGCATCATTTGCACTGCTTTTTGCATTGTCAGTTCATTTTAAAGTCCCCAGGCCAAGGGGGACTGCTGCCCTTTCTTACAATCTCAGTTCTCTGCATCCAAAAGTTTTCATTTAATTGCTATGGGTGGAATGAAGCATTTGAGATTTCTAAGCAGAAGGGGTCTTTTGCACACTTCCAGCTTCCTTTGCTGAAGAATCAAAGCTCCAGGGGCAGCACTTTGTTTCAGTTCCACATCAGGGCAGGCCTGTGACATGCTCGTATTGTCACAGCTTACCAAAAATGTCATCCTTGTGTACAGGGCAAGGAGAATCTGGGGCACATCCATCAAAGACCAGTGTTTAGCAAGGCAACTTATTTGGATGCAGCTTTAGCTGCAGAGTAGTTTGACTGATTCATCTTCTCTGCTCTTCAAGAGTATCCCATCCAAGATTTAAACTGGGATTCCCCTACAGCTAAAATGGGCTCCCTGTAGGCAAGAGGGAAATTCCTGTTTGTGCACTGAAACAGAAATGGCCTTTCCTAGCTTGTTCCTAAGTCCCACAAACTCACTTGCACTCTGCATTCCTCAGCATTGCACTCAGGAGAGGGGACAAAAAAAAACCCTAGCAAGATCTGGCAGGGCTTGGCAAAGCAGCTCCCAGGGTGATTTTAAACTGAGGATGGTAGCAAGGCTCCCAAATGGAAGATGTTTAGCTGGTATATATCATCACAGCTGCAATTTCAAAACAGAAGAAGGACAGTTGTGTACATTGGCCTCCTAATTGGAGCCTGTTCTAACATCTGCCAAAGTATGTTGTGTGTCAACACCCTTGCCAGATCCCCAGCCAAAAGGAGGGTGGGAGGGGAGCTACAAACAAGGAACTTTTCATTTATAAAACCCCTTCCTTTCACCAAAAGAGCCTTATAAAAAGTAGCCTCTATCTAGGTCTCCATTTAATCAGTGGCCTGAAAAACAGGAGAGCTGTAAACTTGCCAACATGCCAAAAGGATGACATTAACCTTTTGGGGAAGAGTTTGGGAATATCTTTCTGCTAGCAAGAAATGAAAGGTTTGGGAACAGGTCTCACCCCCTGTGATGACTGATGCAGCAGGGCAGAGGCACATGCAGCTATGACACACTTTGCTTCTCCAAGTAACACACTTAATAGTAATTCCAACTATTCTCTGAGTACAGGGACTTTTATTCTCCTCCCTGGAAGTAGGTTTGGACTTGTAGTTATTGAGCCACCCTCTAGAAAACACACCAGAGTTCACCACTGTCCATCTAAAATTGACATTATTTTGGATTAATCAAGTTACATCAACATCACTTTGGTGCATGATGCTTAATATCACTTTTATCTTCAATACAGACTGTGCCTACTTGCAAAATGAACATCATCCACTTTCTCTCTCCACCCCCACCCTCTCTCCACTCTCTCCACGGGGGTGTTTTGGGGCAGGACAGTCCTTGTTTTGTTGTTTTGAATGAAGTTTAGCACAATGATGCTCTGAACTCAGCTGGGGTCTTATTATACCAATAAACACTAAGTGGCTGGAGTGAAAGAATAAGCAACAATGACAACAAGGACTAAACAATCTCCATTTATTTAAACAAAATGGAGATGGGGAATGCAGGCAAGTTGGTGTTTTTGCCTGTCCACATTCTTATGCAAATGAATATGTTTTGTCCCTCACAACCTCTCAGATTTGCATGGAGAGATTTAATAAGATCCCTTAGGCCAACAACATCACATTGAAATTAGAAGTAAGTCAAAGTGCAACAACAGAAGCAACCTAGTCCATAAAGATGCTGAAATGGATAGCATGTAAGTAGGAACTCATGAGAACTTCCAGAGATGTGTAGTGATGATGAACTTAGAGAGGAAGACAGGCAAGTGTGCCCTTGCCCACAGTCAGGGCCCAGGGGTCATAGAGCTTCTCTGCAACACCAGCCTGGTTGTCAGGTTGTGGGTCTAACCAGATGCTGCACAGGAAGCTAAAGATGTAGTTTCATGAATTCTGCAAAATAAATCTTTTTTCCTAGGAACTCTTTGGCTGCAGGTGACTTTGCACTGGAGGTTCTTAGATTAACAGTTCCAGCTCCTGGAATGTTTCAGTGTATGGATCAGGATCACTGATTTCATTAGAGCTTGGGCAAAGTGGCAGCATGTACAGCAAAAACAGGGACACTTCCTCACCCAGAGCACATGGGGGAACCCCAGGGAATGATCAGGGAGTATTGGCAGAAAGAAAATGATAAGGCAGGAAAAATATCAAGAGGAAAAAGCTGAGTGCCAGGAAGACACTTTCCCCACCACAATAGGAAAGTCTACAAGACAGTGGCGTCCCTCCTTCCGCACTGTCTGCCAACCACAGCTACAGGCCATTTTTCCCAGCTGCCAAAGAGCTAAACCTCAGAGCCTTTTGTCTGCCCTGGGAGCTGCTACTGGGGAACTCATTTTGGAGTCTGCAGGCTAGAGGGTGATGAGAAAGGCAATCCTACCTTCTTACCCGGGGAGCGGATTAAAATGAAACGGTTTTTCTTTTTGAGTAGCGCACGCAGCTCCTGGCACTTGTCATAACTCTCCAGTTCCACTGTTTCTATGCACTTCTGTTCATCCTGCAAAAAGAGAATGAAACATTATTATGAATAGGAGGCACTGAGATCAATCATATACCATCAAACTCTGCACATCTTCCCCTTGCATCTGTCTAAAAGCTCGTCTGCCTTAAAAATAACCTGCATGCAGACAACAAGCCCCCATAAATCAAGCTGGCATATCACTAAGAAAACACTCTAGTCTTTAAGCTACAGGCCAGTTTGTGGCTAGTGGTCCCCAGTGGCTGAGCAAATAATATGTTGTGGACAGTAACACCAGCTTGTGCTGTCTCTGTTGGCCTCATCCAGGGATCTGCAGCCAGAAGGAAGGTAGGAAGGTTTTGCCCATCATCCTACCCCAGCCACAGACTGAGAATGTGCTGTCAGTCCTGGCATAGGAAGGAGGAATAACATGATGCACTTCTAGAAACCTTCCTGGCATTATCTCAGAGTGCTTCCCAAGCTTCCCTGTAGCTTGGCGACACTGCCTTTTCCCCACAATGGTCAGAGGAGATGTTATTCTGCTTTTTCCCAGGGAAGACAGCACAAACTTCATGATGGTCCATGCAGCCCCCTGGGAAGCCCAGGGCAGAGGGGAGATTGCAGGCAAGACTCAGCAAGGTCAGTGGGAGCCACGTGTGACTGGGACATGCTCCTCTTGCAGCCACGCTCTGAGCTGTCAAAACGCTGAGGACTGGAAATACAGTCCCATACAGCCAGCAAAGCTGTCATGGCCAGCATTGCAGTAGGGAATGTTTCTCTCTGGAGCATCTCCACTGACGACTGCTGGCCACGATCTTGGCTCATTTCTCCCAGTAACATAACTAAAATTCCACATGTGGTGCGTGGCTCCGTTCAGCTGCGGAGCACCATCCCTAATAGGAATCGCAGTGTGACGCTGGGCAGATAATATTCCTAATGTCTCAGTAGCTCAGAGGAGACCAAAGCTCCCTTTTCCTAAGTATTACACAAACAAGGAGCCAGAATAGCAGCGCAGTTCTTGCTGGTGAAGTGCTGCAGTCAGCACACCTCAGGAACCTCTCTATTACCATCCGACAGTAAAACTGCTGCCCGTGACCATCCCCAGCTCGGGCTCTGCTCCCAGGGCAGCTCCTCAGACACAGACCAGTTTGTATTTAGCAATTTCTGTAGCTGAGAGGGGGTGTGGGATGAGGAAATGTGTCGTAGCCAGGAAGCTGCTGCCGTGGCTGGAGGCAGGGAATGGAGAGTTCAGAGGGAAGTGGGCTGCAGGGAATTTCCTCCCTTTACTACTTGCCGTTTAGGTCGCTGTGCAGAGCTCAGACTGTGTTTAGGGTTTTTTACCATCCTATCTGGGGATGGGGGCCTGGCAGAGCTGATGCTGGTATGCAGAGCAAGTTGTGAGCTACTGAGAAATGTCTGGATCTAATTTAGGTTTATTATTTTAGTGACATTACTGTTTATTTCATTTAACACTGAGTAGGTGAACGTGATCAGAGAACTGGCAAAACATCTACTAGGAGGAGGAGATTAATCTTGCCCAGACCTAAAACCTAGCAGATAAAATCCTGCTGACGGTACAGAGCCCTTTGAAGGCTCCTGCTGCAATCCTGGTATTGCAATGTCACTGCAAAAGGACAGGGATGGAAATAATAACCCCTCAGTGGCCAACAAATGACAGAGAAGGGTGAGGTCAGGAATACATGCCTCGGGGAGGGGTGATCTCATCCTGGCCTTTGGTGGACGCCCACCCACGTCCCGGCACTGCCGTGGCCGGTGCGGTTACCAGCTCCGACGCCAAAGTTTGCTGGGCTCAGGACGTGGGTGGCTTGGCAGGACACTGAGCAGAGACCAGCATGGGGACTCCTGCCCACCCTCCCTGCTCTTGAGAGCAGCTCTGTCCCCAGTAGATCCCAGCAGCTCTATGTCACCCTCCTTGTCTACACCAGCCTCATGGAGAGGAACCTGCCCCCTGATCCCATCCTGAGAAAAGTGAAGCACAGAGCTCAGGGACGAGAAGGTCTTGGCAGGGTGGGGGGCTGTGGTTTTGCTGTGACATTGCCTCTGGTCTTCCATATGACCCTCTGCTCCCTGGGGAGGCTTTGGGGGCTATGGGCTAGCCAAAGATAGTGGGGACAAGGACAGGCAGGACCCTGTCTCTCAGGGGCACTGGCTTGACTGGGCCCGCTACAGATCCTTCATCTCAGAGACAGGAACTCCTCAAGTAAGTTATTCTCTTCAGGGAGGGTGAGGAAGAAAGAGGAAGAAAAACTCCATGTCTGAGGGCAAAGAAAAAGCATCTGAGTTCAGGGAGCACCAGAATGGGGCTTTTGTTTCTTTTCTGCCCTTGGCAAGTGGCCAGCCCCTCTCTGTCAGCCTACCTGGGTCACAAAGAGATCCTTTATATTTGTCCTGCACCACTAAGATGAAGATTGAAGTGCCTGACCGTGACACAAGTCTCCAGGTCCTTTAAGCCTCCTGGGACCTGGAGGATACTCAGCATCACACAGAGACAAGGTCGCTCCCAGACTCCTGGCCCAACATGTGGACGTGTTTTCTGGACAAACTCCCACTAGATTTAGTCCTTTTACAATCCTTTTACATTGCCCTGTGACACAAAGGTGGAGTCCTCACTGGGTAGTCACAGCTCCCTGCAGTACACAGCTCACACAGCTGTCCCACAGCACTGCATTTGAATTCTCTTCAGACCACCTTTCTCTGTTCCTCTACAGATTTTAGGGCTTCTTTTTTAAATTGCTTTTGTGCTTGCTCTAAGGAACAACCAATAAGTGTATGTCTGTAAGCTTGAGCCTTAAGAAGAAAATTACAGAAAACCTAAAGATGCATATGCTTAACCACAGAATCATACTTGACAAACAGTTTTCTTAAAGAAAAGTTGATAAAAACTGGGCTAAAAGACCCACTGAAATTTTTATTTATATTAAGGTAAAATTGCCAGCAGAGACCTCTTCACTAACACATATTCAAGGATCATGACCCACAGTGTATACAATGTCTAGACTGCCTGAAATGATAATTCATTTCTCCAGATGAGGATCTCAAAGCATTTTAATTAATCACTTTTTGCCATCACTTTACCAGGGGCAAAACACAGACAATAACTGCACGACTGTTAAATGCTGAGGGGATCCTCTGGTCTCTAAAAGGCTCTTTGTCTAGTAGGTTTTTTCCCTGTCAAATAATACACTTTAAAAAAACCCCTCAAAACAACCATAAAACAACTTTAACCACTAGCTGCACTGTTTAGGGAAAAAAACCCCAAACCTAAAACTGATGCTATCTATTCCATGGAGTGATGATATTGATCTGTGTAGTCTCTCTGCATAGGACTTCAGATCCTCTCTGTAAATGATTAATTTTTATTCTGGCAAGAATATGCAGAGACAGTAAGACAAGAAACCCCATTAGAAAAATAACCTGCTTGGTTCTGAGTGGGCCTGGACACAACCTGCCCTCCTTGAAGTTTCTCAGAAGTTCTTCTGGATCTGAGCTGCCCGTATTTGTATCAGTGCCTCTTTTCCTGACATTTGAGTACGTGGTATCATACAAACATCTTGCTTAACTGCGTCTTCATTTACACATGGGTACAGATGTGGGGTGCTGGAGATGGAGGCACAGCAGAGAACAAGAAATCCATCTCCCTTCATTCCACATCCGCTGAAGGAAACCTGAAGCCTGGCAGGGTGACTTTCACCCCCATCTGCTCCAGGTAATACAATACAAATTTAAAATTTGCCTTTGGGAGGTGGCTCCGCTTTAAACCAAACTCAAGGCCTGACTAGCAGATGCAATATGGGAAAAACACTCCCGGGACAGGCTCAGGAACACATTCCAGGAGATTGCTACTGATGATAATAAATACAGCATTTGTTTTCTGCTCAGACTGCCCTTCCAGGTGACACGGTGCAGCGTTACTGCCTGCATCTTGTGTTGGCCTTCCCACTGCTCTTGTTTGGCACATGCAGACCTCAGCTACTAGAGCAGCCAACCTCCTGCAATTGCATAAACACGCCTGCACGCATAGGAAACAACTGCTCAAGGCTACATTAACACCTCTGTGAAGGGCTCCAACACAGAGGGGAATGAACAGCACCCAGTGTACCACCCATTTACCAGTCACCAGTTCCTACAAATCTGATGTGCTCAGAGCAGTTGGAATATTCACCCTCTAAATCTGTCCTCCCACCTGGTAGCTGACCTCCCTCCCATTTAAGTCTAACTTTGGATACATATGAAAGGAAGCTTGGATTTCACAGAATCAATCACAGAATCACAGAATCAATTTGGTTGGAAAAGACCTTTAAGAGCATTGAGTCCAACCATTAACCTAACTATCAAGTCCAGTACTAAACCATATGCCTCAGTACTGCATCTACATGTCTTTTGAACACCTCCAGGGATGGTGATTCAGCAACCTCCCTGGGAAGACTGTTCCAGTGTTTAATTACCCTTTCAGTGAAGAAGTTTCTTCTAATATCCCATCTAAACCTCCCCTGGCACAACTTGAGACCATTTCCTCTTCTTCTGTTGCCTGAGATTTTATCTCCTTTCTTTTTCTAGGTTCCCAACTCAGTAAGCACTGAACAATCCCCTTTTGAAATGTTTCAGCCTAGAGGATGGTCTGGGATGATGTGTCTGGCTCTGTGGCCCCACAAAGCAAGGCAGGTATGTGGAGAAAGTTCAGTGGGGAAAAGGGAAGAGGGCAGCTGGAGCTCCAGGAATCAAAGCCACCATAGCACACTACACCACAGGCTTTGACATCGGGCAAGCCCCTTCCCATCTCAAAAACTCTGTCCCCTAGCTGTAAAACAGAGACAGCAACACTACCCTAACTCCCCTTAAAGGAAGATAAATACAGTAATAAACACAAACTGCCTCAATTCTGTGGCAATGGGACCCCTCCTGAGTGCAGAAAATTGCCATTTCCCTTCGTTCCCTTGTAGTAAGTCTGCACAATCACATGCTATCCTATTGTGCTACCAGATAATTTTGTAGCAATTTCCTCTCCTAGGACATTTGACTTCACTGTAAGCCAGTTTAATAGCCTATAGATATTAACATGATCCCTTATTTACAATAATGGGACCTTGTAGCTACTGTAGCTTACAGACACAATTTATTACAGGATGTTACCACAATACACAGGCTACCAGAAAACATTATGCCTGGTTGTTACAAATGCCATTTTCCTTGTTCAGATAATAAAATAACCCTTTAAATGATTGGGATTTTTTCCTTCTCTTGAATGTCTGAAAATTAATCTTACTTTAAAAGCCTCCTTTTCCCTTGTGGTAATGAGAGCCTCCATAGATCTTGTTTTTAAAGGCATGCCCTTTAAAAAACCCAACAAACCTACGTCATGGTTCTAGGTTGTGAGTCTGCAAGTTCCTGGAGCTTCAGCTGGAGTCAACAGGTATCCAGGGCACTGGGAAGATCTGCTGAGAGTCACTGGTTTGCAGAACCAAGCTGCAGCTCCCTGTGTGAAAGAACCCCCACCTGCTCTGCCTGCTTTCCAAGCTGTTCCTCACCTAACATTCACTTCTCATTTCATTATTCTTGCACTCTTTGTGACATTGTAAAACCAAGAACAAATGTCTCTGGAAAGTTTTGGGATTCAGGGAGAGCAGGAGGGTTCAGCCTATGGGAGGAGGTAGTACCCTTTAACCTAAAGCATTTATGACAAATCTTCTTTATTAGGCAATATGTTTTTTAAAAAGGAGAACCAAACTCATTTGTCAGCCCCATTGTTCCTGAAACCACCACAGCAATGCAGCTGCTGAAACATTTCCCCATTCTTCTTCCCCTGACACACTGCACAGAAGCTTTACATGATTTTGGTTCTGTATCATCCTGATGCCCATGGATCACCCAGATCTTCTTGTGCCAGACACTACAGAAGCACATGGTCCCTCCACAGACCACAAGGTGAGGAAATCTCCTTCACCCTGATGCACACACCAACTTTCAGCCACCATAAACCAGCAGGGCTTAGATTTACCCACTCCTAATCTCAAACCTCTCTTGCTTGTAGCTTAAGTGCTCTGCACTGTCATTTCTCCCTTTGGGGACAAACTATGCTCCTGCAGAAGCCCCTTCCAGCCCAGAAACCAAGGGCCTGACTTAGGACAGAGTCCAGCAGGACCAGCCCTGCACTCTCCATTCTTCTCCCATGAAGATCCAGGACAGATCTGGCTTGGCTCTTATTTCTCAGTTGATTGGAAACAGCTCTAAACAAGGCCATGAACTTAAGGCTTGCAATTTATCTGGGGAAGTCCAGGACGAGGCTCCCAGGAGTCCTTTGCTCAGTCTTGGCTCAAGCAAAGGGAAAAGATGAGCCAAATCTAGACCACGTCCCTGCTTAAGGAGGACAGCAAGCACTCACAATCTCACCCTGCATCCATCGTTGGCTAAACAAACCCCTGAAGAGTCTGGCTAGCAGCAATTTGAGTTGCTTCAGGGGTGCCAAACAGCTGCAAAGTCGCCTGCCCTTCCCTCAAGCGGCAGGTGGGAAGTCAGGCTGCTACAATCCAGTTTTATTCTTTAAACACCAAAAAACACAGAGCACATATCCTGCTTCCTCCCAAAGCTTTGCTATGTTTGCCTTCTCACAGGATGTCCTGCCCCCATTTTATTATTTTTCTTTTTGCAACGGTGCTGTCAAAATATTTACTGGCTAAAATATTTATGATATATAATATACTCTAAAATGCAGCTGCTCTCTTCTTTATAGCATTTACCCTTCCTGGAGATAACTGAAGAAGCTCTTTTGAAAGGAATGGGCTAGAGGGAAGAGTGAAAAACACAGGAACATGTGTCACCAAGGGCCTGATCCCATCCCTCATGCAAGACCTTTAGCTGTGATCGTACCTCATCCTCATAGACCACGAGCTGTGTTTTCCGTAGCTGGATGTAACGATCCTTCCACAATCCCAGGAGCCCCCCACTGCTTTTCTTAATCCAGCCATATTTCTCTGCAGTCGGAGCAGACTTTGGCTTCTCTGAAACCTCCTCCTTTGTATCCTGCAATGACAGAAGGGAGAAAGAATTGCATCAAAAGCACTTTCCATCCATTTAATGAAGGTCGTCAGAAAGCATGCCCAGAGACCTCAGCACCCACCACACATGTTCCCTCCCTACCACTTCCCAAGGGAAAAGACTGGCATCTTCCAGCAGAAAACTCAAATCAGCTCCCACCCCAGAGCTGCCACAGGACTGGGAAGCAGGCATGGACCCTGTCCACCCTTGGGGACACTGAGATGGCAGCAAATCCACCTTGCTCTTCTGCTTCCCTAGCGACTCAGCTCCCCTCTCCATGGAGGTACTCCCTGCTCACTCTGCACCAAGTGCTTCTGGAAAGTAAGCACCATCCTCTCTGCTTTGCTCTCTGATAAACTCAGTGGGATGGGTCCTGCTGGCAGCAGTAGCCATGCTCATATTTTGGCCCATGGCCATTTCTGCAAGCTTCTCCTCTAGGTATGTACATTCGGTCATTGCCCCCAAGCCAACTCCCGTGGGCAAATCCATGTCACAAGAGCCAGAACTTCATCACATCCACCTTAAAATGATCCCAACAGGCTTCTGCAGGGAAGGAGCAGCATCAAGCATGGTGTTTTGGTTGTTTGTCCTGCCTTTAGCTCCTTGCTGTTGGTCACAGCCTGCTCTTGCCCACAGCAGCATGGGGAGCCCCAGCATCCTGCACTAGGAGGCTGCTGGCTTTCCAGGCCCGTTAAAAGCCAGGAGATGCATAACTTCCCTGCTTCAAAAAACCACCAGAAATATCCAATAGCAATATTCTCGACACAGAGACAGGAAACCTAAGACAGGGAGTGGGGGCAGGCAGGCTTGTTAGTGACTGCTGTCACCAGCAGATGTGGTTAAACATGAAGAGTTTTCCTTCTCTCCAGTGCTCGGGAAGAGCCTTTGCAAAGGCAGGATCCCTGTTTCCCCTCCTTCAGAGTGCTCTGCTACTCTCAACACCCCATTCCCCCTCACCGACCTAAACCTTGGCCTCCTATTCCTTCTAGCCATTTGCCAGCCTTGTGACTTGTAAGGAGAGGCCAACCCAAATCCTCCAGACTTCTCCCAGGAACCCCACTATCCCCCCAGCCTCGGTTTCTTCCATGTCCCCGTCTGTAATAATTGCAGAAAGCCAGGACATTTGCACAAAAAGAGGATGCAGGGCAAAGGCAGAGCCCCCACCATCTCCAAACAGCCCTCACTAGATGCTGAATGAAACCATTTTTTTTTTATTTTTTTTTTTTTTTAGGGAAAAACCCCCAAATGAAACAAACTGGAGCAGCTGGAACTCAGACATCATATTTCATAACATGAGGAAATCCCACATGTATGGAAAGGAGTTGGAGTTGGACACTCCCATGGCCAGAACAGAGTGAGGGAGTACAGACAAGCTCCAAAAATTCAGAGGAGAGCCTTGTTAACAAATCTGTTTTCATGCACCAGACTCCCAACGAACACACCCTTCAAGAGCGGCTGCCATTCGGGTGAGCTGTAACTCTAAAGAGGGAACTTGCACCCATAAAAGAGAAAAAAAAATCGATAAAATTCCCCCCACATCCACATTTATTCCAATCCCCCAAGGTCAGGAAGGGGCTTGGCTTTGCAGGTGGGCTCAGGTGCAGCCTGGGAACAAGGAACTCCAACAAACCGTGTTTCACCTGAAAGCAAATCAGGCAGAAGCCTCTAACATCTCTGCTGCCCTTTGTAGAAGTTGTTTCAGTTGTGCTGAGCTGCGTTTGAAAGGGCCACAGTGCAGGATGACAGAGCATGAAAAAGTTTTCCGGGAAACGAGGGGGACTGTGTGGGGTTGTTGTGGTTTTTTTTTAAACTTGACTTTTTAGGTTGCCAGGAAGTTGTTTTCAGTTGTGATCTGCGACTTCAGCAAACATCAATTGCTGCACAAATATAGACCTGCTGGTTTCCTGATTGAGCACCCTTTTGATGTCATTTTTAGATAGTTGGGCATGGACTTTAACCTCCCTCACCGTAGTTTTGCATGGATGTAGCTGTATGAAGAGTTTATTTCACTGACTCCAAACTCCATTCAGGTTTTTTTTTGCTTTGCAGATGAATTTTTCTTGTTCTTTTTCCCAACCTGCTAGAAAGGCTTATTCTGAAATCACACGGCAAATTTGTCAGCATCCAGTAGCATCCGCAGAGAGGAGCCACGACTCTGAGCTGGGTTGGCCCAGGAGAGGGAAGATGAGATGAGATGGAGAGTGCTGGTCTCAGCAGATGACAGCATCCACGAGCAAAGGGCTCTGTCCCCAGCCCTCTGCAGGAGTCACCTGAGCCTGAGCTGCCAGTGCCTCCTCCAGTCTCCGCTCCAAGACATGTGACGATGCGATCCCGAGTGCTGGGGGCTGCTGAGCTGCCCGGGCTCTGGGTCAGCAGCTTTGCCCTCGCCCACACACACCACGTCACAAGACAGGGATGTAATCCCTCACCTGCAGGTTAATGGCCTAAAAAAGCAGATGATGCAACTTGACCGTTTTGTTTCTGCGAAACCAAGAAGGGTCTTGGAGATGATACCTGACATTTTTGGGGATTATTTTTACTGCTGGTTCACACACCCCCTCCCATGGATGGCTGAGGGGAGGTTGGCCAGGGAAGGGCATCCAGAGCAGGACTTTGTGACCATCCTGTGCTTTCTGCCTATGGTTCCATGACTAAAACCTGAGCACTGCACAAAGCAATGAGTTGCTGTTGTTCATTCAGCTTCATGTTGGTGTTCCTTCTGCAAGAAGCACTCAGATAGCCTTCCCGGGATGTTCTGGGGCTGGATTCACTCCTAATGCTGGTGTAAATCCATGAGAAGAAAACCACTGACACCAGCCAAGTGAGTTATCCCATTGCTGGCTCGGGCCAAAGGTATTGCTCCCAAAACCAATCCATACAAGCTATTTTTACAATTTCTCTCATGGTGCCATTTCTGAAGTTTCACTCTCCCAGCCTGGTTTACGCTCACGTCCAGCTCAGCAGTGATGCCCCAGCAGACGGACAAGGTGGCTTTTTGTTTAACATTTCTCCCCTGCCCCTGTATCTTAAGGGCTCATGAACCCACATACTTTTCATGTTCTCTAACAAAAATTTCAAACCCAACAGTTAAGTCCTGGTGGTGCTTTTACAAGTTACATACAGTGCACAGGAGCATCTTACCCAGCTACTGTAACTTCATTTAAAGCAAGCAGCTCTTCTATCACACACTCCTCTCCACTGAGGCACTGACAAACACCTCTCAGGAGCCAACCTGCACTTCCAGAGCTCACCTCTTCCCCCTTTCCACATTATCTTCCCAGCCTGGCTGTCAGCACTTCCACTTCTCACTGTCCCGCAGGAGCAAAACCATCTCACTGGAAACAAACTGCTCAGATCCACGTGAAACTTGGCAGACTACATCTGACACCCTCTCTCTCCATTACTGGAGGATTAATTTGTCATTAACGAAGAGCGGCTGGTGGATACAGAGCTGGGAAGGCAGCGGGGCAGCCAGAGCCCTGCCCTCCTCACTCCCAAATCCCAGGGGCCATCCCAAAGCCCCTTCAAGCACGGACACCAGCTGGAAGCAGTTTCTCTGCTGTGGATTAATTTCATGGATGCCGGCGGATAATAACAGCTCTCAGTCGCTACCAACTCGGGCTGCTTTGCTGTCTCCCTGCTGTTTTAAAAAAGCTCTCATTCTTGCCACAAAATGTTGGGAGGTGAAATAAGGAAGCAGGGGGAGAGAGACAAGCCACAGCTACTGGCATCACATGTCCTACAGCCCCAAGTCCTCTGGTGGTCCAACCTACCAGGAGCTTTCTTTGTGCCTGAGCAGCAAAACCTCATTTCAGGAAAGGAAGCAGCAATTGTTGCATGGCCAGATGAGGGGAGAAACAGACCTGTTTAACTTGCTAACAAATTTGTGGCACCTTAATCCTTAAATCCACATGAGGGAATGGATTGTTGGGGTGTGACCCCATAGACGTGAAAACCTACATGCAAAGGAGAAGCCCTGCTGCTCTTCTCTGAGTTCAACCCATCCCAGGCAAAGAAGGAGGAGGAGGAACAGACTTGGGGAAGGCTGGGAGGTATGTGGACATGGCCAAGCTCGCAGGCTGAGCGAGGCCCAGCTCCAGCACGGAAGTACAACACCCCAGCAAGAGTCAGCACAAGGTGGCCTGAGCAAGCGTGGCACTTTCACAAGCCCCACTCTGCCAGCACCTCTCCTCCGGCAGCGCCAGCCTTCGCCCCTCTCAGCCTCACCCGGCTGCTCGGGAAGTTTAAAACCCGGAGAGCTGCGGGGATGCTCTGCCCCAGCATCTGCTGCCAGAAGGTAACGGGGGCTGCTCGGGACCCTCTCCAGTTCTGCCCCCTGTACCATCCTCACCACCTCCCGCTGCCGGAGCGGAGGGAAGCGGGGCGGGGGATGTCCCGGTGCCAGCGGAGACCCCCTGAAAATCCCTAAGTGGCCGATACGGAGCCCCTCTGCCCCAATTCCTGGCAGGCAACGAGGGGCTCCTGTCCCGTCTGGGGAGTCCCACACAGCCCAGCGCTATCCCGGGGGCTCCGATACAGCCCCGTCCTGCCCCGGGGGGTCCCGTATCGGGTTGTCCCGCCCGGCCC